ATGTGGTGGTGTTAAATTACCTCTGTTACAGGTTCCATGAATGAAATCATTGTGCCACACTCAGGCACTTGTACATACAAGGGCAGAATAAGAGGTTCCTATGAAAAGCCCAAAGTGATGTGGGTTAATCATGAAGGAGAAGATATATCCTCACTGGCCCAGACAAGCATTCTACAGGAGATGGACAATATTTTTGCAATAGAGAGCTCCATTGAGATACCCTGTGGACAACCGCCACCTTCTTTTGTGACCACTGATAGGGAACGCAGTCCACAAATTGCTCAACAGTCAGGTATGCAGCAACTGAGATTTATATGATGTATTTTGGCACTGAGCAAGCAAAGCTACTCTCTTTTCACTCGGGTAATGCATCATCCTCCACTAATGAGGAGGCTAGGCCTAATGCTGTGAATTATTTCACATAGTTTTCTGCAGCACTCAATAGTTGAATCCATTTGGGAGTGTCATGAAAATTCACAGCTGGCCCATGCCAATCGAGGAGAGAGGCTAGGACGCAAAGTATAGAACTGCAAGTGTAATTCTTTTATTCATGCCCATGAGGCGTCCCAGATAAATTGGGAAACACAAATGTGGTTTTACACATGGTTCTTATACCTTTCAAGTGTTCAGTTACAACATGATTTGACTAATCGCTACTTAACACACACACACACACACACTACTGTCTGCAAAGCAATGATAATTCCATGGTGTTATCATCCGTCTGCTTCTTTATTGATCTAGATGTCCCTGGAGTTGGTCTTGCTACAGTTACTTATTTACAACATCAGAGGTTTTCACAGAGATGTTAGAGGGGCTGGGATGCTGATGTTATCTTGGTAGTCCAAGGGTATCCTTTATCCTTCGTTGACAGCTTTAAGATTCTGAGAAACAAAGGTCCTTCTCTCCCAGTGGGGCTGTCCTCCTTGAAATGAGCTGGGCCCCTTCAGTCATGCTTACTAAAGCTTGACTATTCAGCTTACAGTGTAAACTACATGTATCTAAAGAAAGTTGATACAATTTCATACTATAAAGACTAACAGGTACAATAGTTAGGGAATGAGATTTTGCCTAAGAGGAGTCTATTGCTCAATACTGTCAGGAAGCCAATGAATCTGCAGTCACAGCAGCTCACTATTGGGACTGTGGCTGAAATGGGAAGAGCATCTGCTGACCCCAGGAAGCCAGGAACACAGTGGACTCCTGAGCTGAGTGCATACTAGCCTGTTTCTCAGCATGAACATCTATTTCTTGATGCTGGCAGACAAGTTTTTCTGGCAGGTCTCTGACTGCCAGCTGCTGGCAGTAAGGAAAGACTTTGGCATTAGGCTATTAGAGGGTTATTATGCCTAAAAGGTGGTGTTGAGCAGCAAGGCTAAGGATGAGCTTTCCTCTGAAATTGCTTCTCAGTGTAAGCTTTGAAGGTCACAGAATCACAGAATGTCAGAGGTTGGAAGGCATCTCTGGAGATCATCTAGTCCAACCCCTCTGATAAAGCAGGTTCACCCAGAGCAGATTGCACAGGATCACATCCAGGCAGGTTTTGAATATCTCCAGAGAGGGAGATTCCACAACGTCTCTGGGTAACTTGTCTTAAACTAAAGTATTTTAATGGTATCACTTAGAACAATATTGCTCACTTCAGAGATAGTGGCCTCTTGAAGAAAAATGGAGACGAATTGTGAAGACCAAAAATAATAAAAAAATCACAAGGAAGAAAAAAAAAATCATACTTCCCAGTTTATGTCAAACAAGGTTTTCAGTGTCTGTATGTGGATAATTCTTGGACACAAGGAAATGAATTTAAAATGCAGCTATCACTGTTGCATTTCAACTTCCTTTAGGACTTCTTGTGTTCCTCATCATATTTCCAGAAAAAAATTATTTTGCTGATAGTGTTCTTCTGCTAACCATGTCCAAATAGTGCAGATTATGTGACTCAATGGCCACTCTGTGTATGTGGGTGCTGCAGAGCAAGAAAATTGATGTCAGTTTTTTCAATCCCTTTTTCTCCATTTTACAGGAAACAATAACTTGTCCTGGATTGTCTGCCTCCTTGTTCTCAATATTTTAGCAGGTAAGCTATTTCTCCATGCCAGAGATCCCATTACACAGTTCTTGGCATTGAAGAATCAATCCCACAGCCACTTGTGGGCTGGCTTTTAATCTTTCCTTTTTTAAGGGATTGCCCCATAGCTTCTGTGGAGTTACTATTTATGGTGTCTTTGCCATTCAGCACACTCTCGGAATGAGATTAATAAATGTGGATATTTGGGGTTTAGTCTCCTTGCCTGCCCATGGTGCAAGCTCATTAGTGGAGAGCTGACAGTGCGATGGTTGTTCAGTTCCTGAGGCCCATGGCTGTTCTCCTGGCTGAGCATGCATTCGGCAGGGCTGGTGAGATGTTCTCATGGCTGAGGGGCCCTGTTGCTGACTGGACTCCATTGTGAAGGTTCTGAGTCCTTGCTGCTCAGTCAAGTGGAGAAGTGGTGGCCCAAGAGACAGAATCCATCCCTGGGTAAAGGGAACACTGTCCCCTGGAAAGTAGGAAGCTGCCAGGTTGAATGCCCTGTGTGAGCCACAAAGAAGTTGCAGGGAGGCTGTGGTGTGGGAACTCCAGCTTCTGAATTGCCAGGTGCTGGCCAAGGGGTGGTGCCGTGTCCCTCAGCACCGGACATACCAACAATGGCATGTGGCTTTGATTGGTGAGTTCCACTGAGTCCCTGAGTTCTGTGTCTGCAAGCAGATCGTGGGGTGTGGTGTCAGGGTGGGACAGTGGAGAGCAAGTCACCCCTGGCCCCATGGGATAGCCGGGAGAGCCTGCAGTGTGAGCGTGAGTGGTGTCGGGAATGCTGAGCGACAGCTGGGTTGGAGGCAACCTCTCCCTGCTTTCCCTCTGATTTCTTCCACCAAAGGTCCCTGGGGAAAGGAACTCTAGTGGCAGCCATGGCCATTGCACTGAGTGGGATTTGGGGTTGCCATGGAAGGTGGTTGGTGGTGTCCTGGTTGGTGGAGGCTTTGATGCAGGTAGAAGCATGAGGGAAAGATATGTTGAGGCAAGGCCACGTTATGGCTGATGGGGTGCAGAGCCTGCATCCCTCACCAGCCCTCAGTCATGGTAGGGATGTGGTTGGTTGTGCTCGGTGGCAATAATCCCAAGTGGAGGCATGTGAGGCTTGACTCCAAGGAGTGTGAACCATCTACTATGGCAGAGGAGTTTTTCATCCCTGCCTGGGGTGGGCAGTCCCGGAATGGACTGGCTTGCAAGGACCTTGTGGGTCTTGCCCTGACTTGATGTCTTCTTCTCCTGTGACCATGGTGACTCGGCAGAGGAACTGCATGCAAGGAACAGTGAGTCTTTCTGCTTGCCCACATGCCTGCCTCAATGGGATAGAAGTTTTGGGGTGGTTGAGGATGGATGCTCCAGCAATGCCAAGTGCTACCCAAGTGCCCCGTCGAGTGACCCTGCCAGTGCCCAAGGCTCAATGTGGCAGCAGGTACTCCCTGGCTTGGGCTTTGCTGAGGCAGTGCCCCACAGTCACATGTGGTCCCCACAGTCAGAAGTGGTGGCCCAAGAGACAGAATTAATCCCTGGGTAAAGGGAACACCCGCCCATGGAAAGCAGGAAGCTGCCAAGTTGAATGCCCTCTGTGAGCCACAAAGAAGTTGCAGGGAGGTTGTGGTGGGGGAACTCCAGCTTCTGAATTGCCAGGTGCTGACCAAGGGGTGGTGCTGTGTCCCTCAGCACTGGACATGCCAACAAGGGCTTGCGGCTGTGACGCTGGCAGAGGGGGCAGCCATGCAGGGAGTCTGTGCCAGGCAGGGGCATGGCTGTAAAGTGTAGGGAGTGCGTGGGAGGGCACCAGGTCTCAACAAGTATGGGGACTGCATGTTGCTGTTCCCAGAGCTGAGGGATCCCTGGTCCCCCCTGCTGGCAGCATCTTCTGCCTGGTCAGCCCTGATTGCTCTCCTTTCTTCCTACCCCTCATTTACAGAAGAGATCCATTCGCAACACATGGCAGCACGTAATGCAGAGAAGGGTGAGTACAAGTAGCGCACTGCCACCACAGCTCAGTGCCCAGGGTAGCCCTGGCTGGGCGTGGCTGTTTGCAGAGGTCAAGCGTGCCTTGCTGAAGACTTCTCATGCTGTGCTGAGAACGGCCACAGTGGGAGTGGTGCAGCATGGGCAGGCAGGCAGGGAATGTGGGCTGTCTCTGTCTCCAAAGAGTGCCAGGAGGCCAGTACGCATGCTCTCTGACAGAGGGATGTGCTGCGCCCCTGTCCTCCCTTGTTCCTGGTTGAGAACTCCTGGGGCAAGACCTCCTTGCAGATCCCAATGGCAACGGTGCTATGAGACACAAGGGCTTTGCTACTCCTGTCACTCCCATGGTCCCTGGTGAATGATTTTCTCCCTCTCTTTCTTGGACCTGGCGTGGTAAGCAAGGCCTTCATTCTTCCCCCTCTTTTCTTACAGAAAACCAGAAGGAGATTGGTGAGTGGCACTGAGTCCCTGGGGTCCATGTCTGCAAGCAGATCGTGGGGTGTGGTGTCAGGGTGGGACAGTGGAAAGCAAGTCACCCCTGGCCCCACAAGATAGCCGGGAGAGCCTGCAGTGTGACCGTGAGTGGTGTCACGCTTTTGTAGAGGAGAGTTACTGCGTGAAGTGCGCTGCACCATGGCTCTGCATTTGGGGTGTCATGGTTGGGGACAAGTGTTGGCAGAGGCCAATTCTGCCTTTCCAAATAAGACCCATACTTTTCCCTTGTCTTTTTTGGCCTCGAGATGGAGTGCTAAGCAAAATGTCCTCCCTTTCTCCCCTCTTCTTTCAGAGAACCTTCTGAAGGAGATTGGTGAGTGTTGCTGTCTTTCTGGAGGCCATGTGAGCCAGCTAATTGTGAGGTTTGGGGGTCTTCACAGAATGTTGCTTGTGGTCTTCTGGCTGGTGGAGGCCTTGTTGCTGGCAGGAGAGTAAGGGAAGGGTATGTTGAGGGAAGGCCATGATGGTGCTGATGGGGCTGGAAATCCTGGGCCACCAAGCATCTCTGGAGCCTGGTGGGAAAGTGGTTGATGATGAGGTATTGAAGAGATCCCTGCCAGAGTCAGAGGCTTGTGAGATGCAGCTCCAAATCATCCACTGTGCCAGGTTTTTTTGTTGCTTCCTGAGGCAGAATGTCCCAGAATAGACTCTTTGTAAGTTGTGGTTCTTGCTCTGACTTGGTGTCTTCTTCTCTTGCTGCCCATGGTGATTTGGCAGAGAAACTGCATTCAGAGGATGATGATTCTTTCTGGTTGTCTACATGCCTTCATGTTTATTGTCATTGGAAGTTGTATATACTTTGCTCTCCATGTTCCTTGGAAATATGTCACCTGAATCTTCAGAAAGCTTTTTCCATTATGAAGCCAAACCTAATCCATGGGAATAACTCACAGTAGCTCCAATGGTCCTGTATGTAGATGCTGTATTCTTCCCACGTCCTTTAGTTACCTCCAGCTTTAATCACATGGCTATACTTGTATGTCTCTTGCCCTCTGATGTGTAAAAGATTACCTCTTATCACTTGTGCCTCCCAGCCTTTCTAGTTAGAAAAGGTCCTCCGTGTATACATAAGAAGAACAAGACCCCATTTAGGAATGGCTGTGAATGTCATGTAGAGCTGACTGCATGGAAACCTATGGTGACTCCAGAAACAGGGGGTTAAAATATGGCATTTCAGGATATGGCTGAACTTTGGTATTAATAGAGTTATCTGTACCCAGAGTCATCCTGTAGTGCTAACAAGTACTGATGTCTAATCCATTGTAATGTTTTCTTTCTGTGCTTTTATCTTGTTTGCAGTGAATCAGAGGAAAGAAATTGGTAAGTCATTATTGTCTCTTAAGTCCCTTAAAACTAGTTAAAAGGAAAGTCTGAAGATAGGAAGGAATGGTTCTTGTTTGACAGAACAATGAATTTAGAGCTTCTAACTTGAAGTCCTGGAGCTTCAAAGCCTTTCCTGCACTCAGTTCCAGGTGCACATCTCACACCTCGCTGTTCACATGCTCAGACATTCATCCAAAACTTTATGTTTTTCACATACAGATGCCTACCTTTGAGCTAATCCTTTAAGCTCACATCTCAGGACTTCATGATCCTACTCTGCTGGGTCGTCTTTTCATCTCTCATACATAAAGAACAAGTTCAGCTGATTCTGCCCTGGCAAATATTTAATATTTACTCATCTGATTTGACTTCTCAGAAGTTTGGCTTGTATAGTAGACTCTCTGCCTGCCACATCTTCTCCACTATCCTTTTCTGCCCAGCCACTGTTGAACAAAGCTACCACGGTTGCACAGACCCAGAAACTCACCGGAAAGTGCATTCTGTCCTCCCTTCGGAGGATTAGGGAAAATTCACCCAACCTGTTCATTTGTATCCATCCCCGCCTGAGAAATTCATTCAATGAGGCTGAAATTTATTTCCCTGAGTGTCACAAAGGGGACTGTCTCTTTATGTGTCCCTGCGAATGCTGGGGTGCTGACCAAGGATGACCTGCATCGTTTAACCTTAGACTCAGTCTGAGATTTCCCAACTTGGAGTTGGAAAATTTTTTCAGTCAATGTTTGGAAATTTGTGAATACCACAGAAGCAGTGCTGAGCATGGACTGGATTGTGAGTCTACAAATGCCTTTTATTCCAGTGATATGGAGATATTTCACTGTCAAGTGAAATACTTGAAAGTTAAAATGTAATTTATATGTCTGAATGCAGACCTCCTTCTTTCCGGGCTTAGAGGTTTTTCTAGACCAATTGTAGGGAGATTTTCAGAATATAATGCAGTACAGTCCAGTTTCCTTCTCTTCGTGCATATTTGCTTTAGAGGACTTTAATAAAGCCCCAAATATCTATTTGTGGTAGATGACATCAAGGTTGATGGGGACACAGCCCATCCCAACTTGTCTATTGCTGTGGACAAGAAGAGTTTTACGCATAAATCACAGGTCCAGAAAGTGACTCAAAATGAAGAGAGTTTTGATTCATCTGTCTGTGTGCTGGGCTCAGAAGGTTTCTCCTCTGGGAAGCATTACTGGGAGGTGGATGTTGAAAAAAGCAATGACTGGGACATTGGAGTAGCAAAAAAATCCGCTCCAAGGAAAGGAATAATTTCTCTGTCACCTAAAGAAGGATTCTGGGCTCTGGGCTTGTGTTCTAAAGATTACTGGGCAAGAACTGATCCATGGACACGGCTAGTGGTACAGAAAAATCCCAGGAAAGTTGGAGTTTACCTTAATTGTGATGAGAAAACTTTGACTTTTTTCAATGTTACTGACACATCTGTGATGTTCGCGTTTACAGACTGTGCATTCTCAGAAGAATTGTATACCTTCTTTAAAAACTCACACAAAGAATCAACCATGAGAATCTATTCCATTAAAGAGGAATAATTTTCTTTAATATGGTAATTTTGTTGTGAAATGGAAGATTATGTCATTTTCTTAGACAAATTTAATGCTTAATCACAACTGATGTATTACACATTCTTGATCACATTCTGTATTATGCATAGTTTAATACCTTAGCTTAAAACATTGTCCTTTCCCCCACCCTTTTCTATATACATTTTGTCCAATACTTGCAGCACGCATGCAGAACTGAGCTGTTCCATTTCATGATTTGATATATGATATGTTTATCCCAAGAACAATTTCTGCAGAGTCTTTTTTTCTGAAAAAAATTCAGTCCTTACAATGCATTTTAGTGATCATCATTCTCTGAGGTTTTGTTCTGGACTGCTGCGTTGTGTACTTTGTACTTATGTACAAAGCCCAGCTTCAAATCATGAATTCAAATACACACACCCCAACCCCAACAAATCCACAGCTCCCCGTAAAGGTAACCTCTCTCCATCACTCTTCTGGATGGAATTCTCAGAATTTTGGATGAAAAGAAAGAATCTGTTTTAAACACAGTAATTTAAAACATAGTAATGTGTCTACACTTCACTTTTTGGGTGGAGAACATGCCATCTACGCTTGAAGAAGAGTCTGAGAGGCAATGTAAATCAACTTAATGCAGTGCTACAGCTCTCCGTCATGCTTTGATCTCTGTAGCAGAGTAATTCGCCCTTCTAGTGCATAAGTAGCTCTGACAGAGCTCTCTGTTCCACATGGTCTTCTGAATCCTAACTCTTCACCAGGTGCAATGCAATTTAGTTGCCTAAACATAGACACCCATTGCTCTGTAAGATTCTTTAAGGCATCCAACACACCTACATGGGGCTGTTTATACAGCACAAGGTTTGTGGGAGACCTGCACCTTTCTGAAGTGACAGCTGGAGACCTCCTGAGACAGTGGATGCTGAAGGATCTTTGGTTCCAGGCTGTCATGGTTATTTTCTGTGAACGGTCCTTTCTTCTGTGGAATTTAAGCTTACCAGCTTTTGTCCTGTGCATCATGAAGGTGGAAGATAATCTATTCCTTCGGTTTTCCATCAGTGATCTCAGGGTTATAGCTACATTCATAAAGGGAGTGTAGACTGTGGTGGAATCATAGAATCATAGAATATCTTATGTTAAACCCATAAGAATCATCGAGTCCAACTTCCTGCTTCTCAAAGGACCAGCTAAAACTAAACCATATGACTAACAGCATTGTCCAGATGCTCCTTGAACTCAGACAGGCTTGGTGCCATGACCACTTCCCTGGGGAACTTGTTCCAGTGACCGATCATCCTCTCAGTGAAGAACCTTTTCCTCATGTCCAATCTGAACTTCCACTGGTGCAGCTTCATTCCATTTCCTCATGTCCTATTGCTGGTCACCAGAGAGAGGAGATCAGGACCTCTCCATCCACTGCCCAGTTGTAGACTGCAATGAGGTCACCCCTCAGCCTGATTCAATACCCATCTTGTTTTTTAATGAGCATCACTGGTAAATTCGAAGTCCATTTTTAACCAGGATTTGACTTGCATTAGTACTACATCTCCACTGTCTCTTTACACAAATGTCTCATGATACAATTCCGAAGTCATAAGGTGAGATTCAGTCTGAGACAAAGATGTAAATGTAGGTGTCCACATATGAACTAGGCGTCTCTGTTTATAGTTAATGGAGTTCTAAGTTGTGATTAAGTTGCCTGAACATAGATGTCTAGTGCCAGTTCAGACCTATCAATATGTCTGAGACTGGCAGAGGTGAAGCAAGACTCATGGAAGACCCATGTCCTTTTGGGTCCCTCTGGCGTTATTTTTTGCAAATCTGTTTTTAGCTGAAGTTTGTAGCTTTGATCCTATGGAATAGAACTGAGCTTTGACACACAAAATACCCATTGGGCATAAAATCCAGATGATCAATGAGCAGACTGTTATCTAAGGAATACAGAACATGCTAATGCCCTTGAACCAATAGACAAATCACTGGAAACCCATGACATAACAGAGGAAAAGCAACCTGATAGCCCAGCTGGGCTGAGTTTTCATTCAGCGCTCTAGTTATGAGAATGCCTCCAATTTCTTTTTTCTTTATCATAAACTCAATAACATTATTAGGGATGGGAGTCAGACAGCACTGTAGTTTCCAAAATCCTTTCTAGAATCTTGCTTACAAATAAGATTTACAATGGCAGCCTGCCACTTCTCCAGCGATGTAGTTCTTTGTAGTTACAGGTTAAAACGCTCTTCTTCCCATGGCAATCCACCTCAGAAACAGCAAAGACAGCGGGCTAGATTCTGGTAAAAACAGAGCTACCTAATTCATGGAGTCAGAGAGTAAATTAGCTTAGAAGACATCTCTGGAGCTCTCTAATCTAGTTCCCACACACAAAGTCAGACCAGATTGCTCAGGGACTGTACTGAGCTAGCAGTGAATCTGAGTACTCTGAACTGCCCTTTTAGTCAGCCCCCATGAACTCTTTGGTGATTTTGTAGGTGATGTTGTACATCTGGCTGACGTCCAGCTGCCAAACCAGAAGTGGAGAGGTCTCCATTAGTCCTGTATCATATGTCAGGCCTGAATAGGAATTTCCAGCTCTCTGGGACATCTGAAATGCCTGTAGGTATCTATGGTTAGGCAGCTAAATTCTGCTCATGCTCAACACAGTCAACTGAGAGTAGGGAGTGATTCCTGACTGTCTGTATCTGCCTAAACTGAGACATCAAATTCTTGTGTTTAAGATCACATACAGAGCCTTATCTCATCCAAAGGAGGGACACAGCAGCCTGAGATAACAGAGGGAGATAGCAGCCTCATCATAGCCAGATAAAACCTATCTTCCTCAGCTCCTTCATGATAAGTGTTCCTGAAGTCTACACATAGATGTGTCCAAAGGGTCATTCAGAACAGCCTAACACCATCAATTGTCTCTTGGAAAGGCCTCTTTCTCTTCAGATGCATATAAAAAAACATTCTGTCCCCCTCTGTTACAACTCCCAGATGTTTCAATGAAAAATATTAATGAGACGGCTAACTGTTGTGGTTTAACCCCAGTAGGCAGCTCAGCACTGCACAGCAGCTTGCTCACTCCTCTATGGTGGGATGGGGGAGAGAATTGGAAGGGTAAAAGTATGGAAACTCATGGGTTGAGACAAAGACAGTTTAATAGGTAAAGCAAAAGCCACGCACACAAGCAAAATAAGGAATTCATTCACTGTTTCCCATTGGCAGGCAGGTGTTCAGCCATCCCCAGGAAAGCAGGGCTCCATCACATGTAAACAGTAACTTGGGAAGACAAATGCGGTAACTCCGAATGTCCCTCCCTTCCTTCGTCTTCCCCCAGCTTTTGTTGTTGAGCATTGACATCATAGGGTATGGAATATCCCTTTGGTTAGTTGGAGTCAGCTGTCCCAGCTGTGTCCACTCCCAACTTCTTCTGCACCCTCAGCCTACTCGCTGGTGGGGTGGTGTGAGAAGGAGATAAACCCTTGATGCTGAGTAAGCACTGCTCAGCAATAGCTAAAACATGCCTGTGTTATCAACCCTGTTTTCATCACAAATCCAAACCACAGCCCCATACAGGCTACTATGAAGAAATTTAACTCTATCCCAGCCAAAACAAGGACACTGAGTAAACAGAGACACTGGAAATGGAGAAGCCACAAATCATAGCTGTGTACAAGAGCTACATAGCGCTATTAACATGGGTTCCCATGACTTTGCGGACCACTTCAGCTCTGTCCGTTGTCCCAATCATATGTAAGCAAAATAATGAATGACTTAATGCAGCTGTCACCCACAAAGTTAATCTAAACAGACTTTCAGTGATCTGTCATGTTGACTGTGCTCAGATATTGTTTAGTGTTGATATGGACACATTTTATTCAGCTCAGGGTATAAACAGATAAGTTTGTGCAGAGAATTTATAGTTTGATTCACCTTGCAGGCATCCCCAAAGAAAACCTGATTTCCTCTTCCTTGACACTCTTCTTCTCTTGGTGGATATTTACTTGTGGTCTTGGCTCTTCTCTACTTTTCAGAGGTTTTTTTACTGTTCAATGGTCATTTCCTGTAACTGTCAGGAAGGTGGCAACGATGCTCAAAACTGATTTAGTCACATTACCCTAACTTGGGAGTGCTTCTCTTGTACATTTGAATCTAGGAAAGCTGGAGATATCTAGTCTTAGAACACAGAACACAGAACATAGAATGGTTTGAGGTGGAAGGGACTTTAAAGACCATCTAGTTCCAACGCCACCTGCCATGGTGTGGTGGGTCGACCCTGGCTGGGGGCC